TTTTGGACTACCAGTTAATCATCAATGGAATGAAAATTTATGGCTAATTAGACCCCACATTCAGTGGCAACCCATGAAAAATCACTATATAATGGGCACTTATAACCATGCCAAATTCTCCAACAATTATCTTTTTAAGTCGGATGTGTCGCAATATTCGGGTTGGGGAATTGGATACACTTATCTAGCCCCTTTAATCGGTCCCATTCAATTATTTTATGGGTATTCGAATGATACGAAAAAATCCATTGTTAATTTTTCACTAGGCTATTGGTTTTAATTTGATATTATGATGCATTTTTTTGAAGAAGATCGAAACGCTCCATCGTTTTTTAAACCGGATGAAACGAAACAATGGTTAATTTCCCAATGCCAATCTCAAGGGTTTAAGTTGGGAGAACTAAACTATATTTTTTGTTCGGACGATTACTTATTAGCGATCAATCAAACCCATCTAAACCATGATTATTATACCGATGTGATTGGATTTGACAACAGCATTGGAAAATTGCTATCGGGCGATATTTTTATAAGCATCGACCGCATAAAAGACAACGCCAACGAATTAAACATTCCATATGAAGAAGAATTTTACAGGATTATGGCCCATGGATTGCTTCATTTTTTGGGATACCAAGACAAGAACGACGATCAAAAAACCCAAATGACCATCGAAGAAAATCGATGGCTGCAACAAATTGTTTCACGTGAAACCCACTAATTATGTTTGAAAATACTTACGATGTTATTATAATCGGCGCTGGCCATGCAGGCTGTGAAGCGGCTTATGCCGCCGCCAAAATGGGTTCTTCTACCCTACTCATTACAATGAACCTGCAAAATATTGCGCAAATGTCTTGCAACCCCGCCATGGGTGGCATTGCCAAAGGACAAATTGTTAGAGAAATCGATGCCTTGGGAGGCATGTCGGGCATTGTAACCGACCACACCATGATTCAGTTCAAGATGCTCAATCTATCCAAAGGCCCTGCCATGTGGAGCCCCAGAGCCCAATCGGACAGGA